TAGGGTGCTTGACTTGCAATCTGTGGGTCATAGGTTCTAGTCCCCATAACACCAAACATGCTCGCCTTTTCAGCCATGGTGGCATTATAATGTTATGGTCAATCCCACTATTTGTTGGTAAAAGAGTAGCCCAAGAGTTGGTGGTGGGTGGTGATGACTAGCTGCCTTCCCTCCAGCCTTACACTGCTGAATTAGGGAAGGCTAATGCAGATAGCCTTCATGTAGCTTTGTGCAAAATTCATAAGAAACAAAAACAAAATTTATGCATGGTTAACAAGTCAACTTATATATTGTAGAATAGGTCCTTTCTGCTAGTCAGATAGAAAAAGTTTAGAGAATAAGTTATTATTTGTACAGTTTAATGTTCTATATTTTACAAAAAAATTAAATAACAGTAGTATTTTGTTTTAAACTAGTTGATGATAATTGAAGAACCACACACGGATACTGTACAGATACAAGGAAGAGACAACATAACATTCTTGGATTCTGTCCTTCAAGAACCGTCCCAGAACACTTCTAGAGTAGAATTCCTTTCGAAAAGTCTGGATGATTATATTGATTCTTTAAATATGGAAATTAAGGTCTGTGATATGGTAAGTTTTATTCTATTCATTACAAGTGACAGTATCTGATTAATTACTGTGTTGCATTAAGTATGAAAATAAGTGTTTGTGATATGTTAAGTTTTTTACTAACTTTTATTCTTTCAGAAACAAACAACTATTACCTTATGTCACTGCCAAGAAGAATTTTGCACCATGCTACAAGGCTTAAATTCCTACCTCTATGCTTATTGATGTTGACTGCACCAGATTACACACATCCTTCATGCGCAGTAAACCCCATACACTTGCATTTCACCTAAGGCTTATCCTTTTCCTTGCTACTACTTTATTTAGTTTAGGTTTTTCTTAAGAATTGCTGAACGTTTTCATTTACTGTTTTAAACTTTCATTACCATTCATAGTTTGGTCTTTCTTCCTGTTATTTTCTTGACTGTGAGAAAGAATGATACCAAATTTGAAACATTTCAGTTAGTACTTTGATTTGAATCATATTAAATTTGGTTTTTACTCCTAATCAAATTTTCAATTTTGAGACATGTTCCAGTCTATGATGTTTCTTTGACATTACTATTTCCTAATGTTTTGACCCAATGTATAGCTTTTATTAAGTACTCTTCAGTTTTATCACTATAAGAATGGCCTAGACGTACGTACCATGGACATACCAGGCCAAATATATACATATAAAAATGGATCTGGATTACGATTTCATGTTTTCACATTTCTGACATCTGAGGTTCTGACTCTTCTCAATAGGAGTCATCCATTACTGCGATGGCAACTGGAGGTGCTCTGATGTTACTGCGATTGTGTGCTAAGTGGTTAGTTCCAGGATTTCTGATTTCCTGCTTCTGTTACTTCAGCTTCACCTCCTCCATTTTTAGACAAAGTTCCCTCTTCCCAATGAAGATTGGGTAATCTCACTTAAGTCTTTCGCTACTTGGATCACAGAATCATTTGAATATCTTCTTTCTGCTTTGGGAATCTTTTTTTCTCACTATCTCTACTGACCTCCAATTTGTAGAGAGTATGAGCCTTGGTGGTACAAAAACCTCACAGTTTTATGTACGTTTATTAAGATTATAATTTTTTGCACTTACATTGATACTTGTGGAACAAGAATGCGTATGTAGAGACTTATGTTGTTTTTACTGGGTAGTTTATTTGTTTTAAGAACTGAAATATATTTCAATAAGATTTTCATTTCTAGTGCCCTAAAATAATATTTTGTTTCACATTCAAAGAGCATTTTGTGATTTTATTGGGTTATTTCGCACTAATTTTAGTAATGTTTTTCAGATTATGTAGTTTTTCTTCCCTTTATACTTGCTCAAATGAACCTCAAGTTTATTCAACAGTTCTCTTAATACATATTTTAAAACTAAAATGAGTAAAATTTGAAAAGAAATAATTCATGGATTATTTCTTTTTTTGCTAAAATTACACATTTTAGTAAAGAAAGGAAAAATGTATTCATAAATAAAATTATATTACTGAAAGATGCCATGGAACATTGTTAAGGATCCTTATCAGCATTTGCTAGTTAATGTAACTATTGCTTAGCAAAAAGGGTTATAATTTTCTTCTGATTTTTTCTGTTGTCATAGGAAAATGGTTCTGAAAGTGCTCTGTTAGCTGTGGTTACGCAGATACTACACAAAGAACTGAACTATGAACTTCAGCAAATGCAAGACTTGGAAAAATTAAAAACACAGTATTCTAACTTTATGAAAGAACTATCACCTTGGCTCAACAATAAACCAGATACCAGTCAGATCATAGCTACTAGGAAAATAATCAGAAAACTCAAGTCTAAGTTAAGACATAAGATTGCTGACAAGAATGACATTGAAGAGGTAGGTATCATCATTATGCCAATGTACCGTATTTTTCGGAATATAAGACG